AGACTCGCTGAAAATCGTAGTGAGCGGCAAGAGCTCCACCGACAAGAGAGCAGCTCTTAAATAGGATAGATAGATAGTAGGTTAGTATAATTATAATTGTTCGCCTTTAATATTACTCGTCTATAGTCTTACTGAACGTCAAACGCAACCGTAACACATTCATTTATTACTATATACGTTATGGTCGAACTTCGACTACGCGCCGACCACTACTCACAACAGTACTGTAATTAGACCGCATCTGCATTGTCGTGGGCACGACACACAAAAATCACGGAATGCACTTTGTGAGTATGAAAGTGATATTTGGTAGGGAACTTGCTGAGTAGGCGTGGGTAATATTATATATTTATATATTTTAGTTACAATATCTATATACTTGGTCCAATAACGAATACGTTTAAAGTCTGTTATCCAAAAAATCATATTTAGATAATAGACTTTTACCATATTCGCATGGGGGGGTATCATGGGCGAAACAGTATACTCTGTTATGTCCATGGTACTGCTCGTGTCTATAGGCGACGGTTACCACTTTCCATCAGGTGGGTCGTCAGCTTGTTTGACATTCTAAGTTGTATAAAAAAAACATATATAGATATCCGATCGATATGGGCGATATCGAAATGGGTGATGACCTTATTCCACCATCTTACTGCAGAGGAATTAAATATATATTATACATACTGCGACAATCTGGACAAACTAATGGTTGTAGACAAGATAGAAGGGAAAAGACCACGCGGACGATTGCCTAATCGATCGTCGGACTAAGTAGCCGCCGTAACGGGACTGTTAATTGCAGCTGCCCTGCGAGAGGCTGAAGACCGTGCACAATGGAATAACATCATAAGAGAGGCAACGGACACCTTTCAAGGACACGACCTTCAGTAATGAAGAGGACGAAGAGAGATCCATACTGCCTATACTTATTGCTGCGTACGAAGACATACAGCACCTTAGAGCCAGTACCGATATTTTTCTAGGTAGAGACCACTCCACGTTCCGTAGCCCCACTCGAGGTAAAAATAGTAGATAGACTGATTGATTATATAGTAGATAGAATAGTAGATAGATAGAAGATTGGAAGGCTGTTTTTTTATTGAGGGGGGGGGGGGATCAAAATAGTTCGTACGCTAATGATATACGTTAACGGGGCACCAATGATAGGTGACGATAAGAGGTCCGTCAAACCCTAGTGACGAATTAACAAAAATGGTTTCCAGGGGGAACTGCGAAGATTCTGACCAAATAGGGTACATTGCTAACAATGGGACTTTTAGACCCCATTACCAATAATCGCTTCCCCCTCCAATAGTTATCTGTTTGGCTAGTAACGGGGACTGGTTACTTACGTCATCATTAAAGATATAAGGTACCAGGTCGACCACCACGCGGTTTCCCCTGGGTAACCATCGTAGTTAATTCTTGTGGAATTCGTCACTATATGCCAATTGACCTGCTTTCATCCTCACCTGTCATCTCACTGGTGCCCCGCCAGAGTATACCGATAGCGCAATCGGGGTTACCATACCAAAAAAAAAGGAAGGAGACTATAGTTTCTACAATATCCAATTGGTTACAAAAAAGAACCGCCGTCAGTATACGTTTCCCACGCGCAGTGAATCAGTTTAGCGAGAAAACGCTGACTCAGCGGCGCGTTAGTTTGCTCTTTGATTACACCGGCCGGTCGGTGTTGCGGAAAACCTGCCAAGCGCGAGCGGTAATTACACAATCCGAGTTCATCACTGTATGTGTCGACATTTTATTAACAAGTGTCGTTGTTTTTTTTAACCCTGTGGTCCCGGCATAGAATAGGCCACCCCTTCCTTTACCGTGGGCGTCGTAAGAGCCGACCTCCTCCCCGTATACCGATAGCGCAGACGGAGTTACCATTTCATTATCATCCATTAAAAAAAATACAAAAATTTTATATATTTTTTTTATTGGATGAAAATGGAGTGGTAACCCCGCCTGCGCTAACGGGATACGCCGGCGGAGCACCAGTGAAGGGTGATAGATGAGAATGAAAACAGGCCAGTTGACCCATCATGATGAATTCATCAGGAATTAATCATGATAGTTTCAAAGAGGAACCGCGAGGAGGTCGACCTGGTTGGGTATATTGCTAGCAATAGGATTCTCAGTCTCCATTACTAACAATCCCTTTTCCCCCCAATTTTATATATTTATATGGAAAATTTTACTATGTTTGTCATTTCCAATGATCGTTTCGACTTTTAAAAGTACCTAACACTCAATACAGTTTTATATTGCATTAATTCAACTTCCTTGTTCAGTTTGTTTACAAGGAATCTGGATAATTGTATATAATTACATGATTCTGTGAATTGTCAAGAGCACAATAAGTTCATTTAGAAGTGAGTTTATACTGCAGCACAATATCCTGCTGTTGGGGGGAAAGGGATTGATAGTAATGGAGACTGAGAATCCCATTGCTAGCAATATACCCAACCAGGTCGACCTCCTCGCGGTTCCCCCTGGAAACTATCATGGTTAATTCCTGATGAATTCATCATAATGGACTAACTGGCCTGTTTTCATTCTCATCTATCACCCTTCACTGGTGCTCCGCCAGCGTATCCCGTTAGCGCGGGCGGGGTTACCAATCAATTTTCATCCAACAAAAAAAAAATATCCTGTTAGATCCAATAGCACTTAATATAAATGTAAGTACAGAATTTACAGGGTACAGAGGAATAACACCCGAGTCCTCAGGAATGGCAACGCATGGGGGGTATCATGGGCGAAACAGTATACTCTGTTATGTCCATAGTACTGCTCATGTCTATAGGCGATGGTTACCACTTTCCATCAGGTGAACTGTCAGCTTGTTTGCCATTCTAAGTTGTATAAAAAAAAACAGTGAATATTTAAAAGCAATATATTATGCAGAAAATATAGTAGATAGATAAATACTCTTTATTGTTTCCTCCAAAAGATTACAACAGTAAACTTATTATAAATATAAATAGTACTTACATTGGGGCCCATTGTGTGGGTGGTGTCATATCTTTAAACTTATCTATTAACCTAATATTTTAATTAGCTCATCATCATCATCATCATCATCATTTCGACCATTAATTGGATAATTTAGTAAAATTACTAAATTATGTACCATTATAATATAAGTATGTTTTAATGACATTCCACTACAGAATGTAATATTTAAATTGTGTAATATTTAATTGATGTATTTAAATGTTTCTTCATCATCGTCACATCAGCATTTGACTGTCCACTGCTGGACATAAGCCTCCCCCTTGGGGAGTTTAACCAGTAGTAGCTACAGTTGGCAGGCAGATTGGCAACTGCAGTTTGGTTTGGAGATGTTTTAAGAGGAACACTGCTGCCCATCTATCGTCTTCTCTTAGTTGCCTCTTACGACACCCATGGGACCTATTCTATGTGGGGACCACATGGAAAATTGAATATGTTGTACTTAATTGAAATATTTAAATGTTTATAATTGTACAAATGTAATGCAGCTACCGCTATGAATATTCTACCATCATGAATTTCCTATGCCAGATTGTGGTGAAGAGTGTGAACAGTATTTAAATATTATGTACCTTCCTTTTTACCAATTTTTAAACAAAATAATGTTGAGGGGTGGAAATTGAATCTTTTATACATATATACATCAGTTGTTTTATTTGTATTTTTTTTATACAACTTAGAATGGCAAACAAGCTGACAGCCCACCTGATGTAAAGTGGTAACCGTCGCCTATAGACACGAGCAGTACCATGCACATAACAGAGTATACTGTTTCGCCCATGATACCCCCGTGCGTTTTCATTCCTGAGGACTCGGGTGTTGTTCCTCTGTACCATGTAAATTCACACCATATCCCACCCTTCAAACCGAAACACAGCCATGCAAACACAACTGCTTCACGGTTGAAACACGAATGGGACAGAGGTACATAAGCAAATGACTTTTGTACAAAGTCTCTGCCATAAATATGAGATATGGTAATGATGTTGATTCTGAACCTTGTCTGCGCTATATGTTGACGGGGCACCAGTGAGGTATGATAGCTGAGGATAAAACTAGGTCAGTTAGCCCATTGTGACTTATCCGACAAGAGTTAATCACAAATAAAGGCACAATATCTATTCTCTGACATGTTTGTCTACAGCAGAAAGAGCCACTCTTTATATACTAAACAATCCCGGGGGTGGGCATGGCCCATCTAGCCCCACTATATAGCAGGAGCAAACAATACACATTTACAAAACTTAATGAAAATCAATTCAGCAGTTTTATAAATTGAATAATTTTTATATATTAAAATTATATTAATTAATACAGTCTATAATTATTTTTCCGAAAAACAAGGTATGGCTATAATAAGCTACCCTGTCAACTTTTTGTACATGTATAGAATTCCGACGCAATAAAATATACTCAATAGTAATTCACCAATACATATACCTAACTTGATTACGAATAGAAATTGTTGAATGGGTATTATGGAGAACTCACTAAAAGGAAACGAAAATCTAAATATATAGCTAGATTATCCTAATAGAAACTGCTTATTTATTACAACGCAAAATAATAATTAGTTGAGTATGACAATAAAAGAGTACATATTTCCTAATAAGATAATGAAATGACATTTTATCATATAAAAAAAATACTTTTTTTCAGTTTTGAGGATCTTCAACTTACTTTGCTTTAGCTATCAGAGTAAACAAAATGCCTTGTATAAATAAGCTACTACAGACTAAGTACCTACTCTTCATGTTTCAAGTGCATTCTACACAGAGATAGGTAGAGATTATGTAAAGGAAAATGTTTATGCAACCAGATTTCGAAACTTGTTTCCCACCCGAGAAAGTCCTACCGCAGCCTACCAACTTAAATGAGGCACGTTTGCCAAATTTTTATGCAACGCAGTGAAATCACGGCAAAGGAAATCAAGCGAAAGTCAACGTAATGCCATATTGCTTTTTATGCACACCTACCTATAGTTTTGCTCGTAATCCCAGAACTCCTTGTATCGCGGGTGCCAGCGAGGGCCCCCCCGCGAGTAGGGCCTCCTAGAGCCCCCTTGGCTCATGCCCGTTGCGCCATCACTTCACCAGGTATCGATCCGCGCACCCGGGTCTGTGCACCCGGCTCCACACAATTATTGCACACCACAAAACTAATAGCCCACTGTCACTGCACTGCGACACATTCACAACAACAACGACAACCAAATCTTTATTTTCGGGACTCCAGTGGAGCCCTACGCTATTGTTTTGGAGACTACTGCAAGGGAGCGAAGCTCGCGCGAACTGAACTCGATTCACGCAAGCGCGCCAACGTCATAGAATGATATCACTGCCATCTACAGATTTTGTATACACAAAAAGTTTCATTTAAAAATCACCGCCAAAATGTATATTTTTCATTAATTAAGAATTTCACGTGTTTTATAAAAGTAAAACAAAAAATGTTTGTTAAAACCACATAAATATTTAAATGATACAACTGTCTGAATATATAGTAATCTTATTGGAATAGCAAAATGGATTAACGACGCAGTATTGATTTTATATTAGTGTCACGCGATATGGTATTATATTTTCATAAGGTACGAATAAAACTTAGAATAAGCAATGAACAAAGTAGGGTGTGTTATCGCGCACTTTAAATGGTTCGTCATCGCTCATATAATTAATGTGAATCAGACGATAATTTTGTCGACGATCCGCACTAGAGCACAGCGCTTCCTCATGTCTACGGGTCACGGGAACACGTAAAAGAGTTAACGATCACAATACAGACAAATAAAACGTAGTAAACCCCGGGTTAAACGCAAAATAGTTCAAGATAAAAACGTAATGTTACGCTCCCAGACCGTAGCAGCAATACGTAAGCCTTTAAAAAAAGTTTACACAACTCGACCCTACCGTGGCATTCAGCGTTTTAGTGCTTTAGTCAGCATGGTTAGAACATACGGCTGCGCTGAACGAATATTTCTATGGATAGCTCTTAAGCGCTTGAATGCTAAATGTACATGAAACCACGCCCATTGTTATTATAATGCAGCCAACATGACGCGCACAGTGTATTGTGAATTTAGCTACAAAACAATTTCCTATATACATTTCGTTGTCTCTTTCTAACAAATTGAGTAAACAGAGATAGAAAATCACAATGTGTGTTTATTTTTTGTTTTTATTTTCAAGTCATTTTTACAAACAGCGTCATTCCATCTTGTCTCGACACTGAATGTATCAAACAAGTGCTTTTACTCTAAGTAATATTATTCATTATACATTTAACCGAAATATATCTGTATTTCCTTTCCGACATTAGTATTATCTTTTATCTTTCTGCCTACTCGGTAATTCTATGCGTCGTGTCGTCGGTATGCTCAATTTACGCAACATTAATGAATGATAATTAGTTAATTTTTGTCGCTGTACATACTAAACATCTATGTGGATATGTGCGGAATGTAAAAAACGTAACGTTATGTAAGGATAGACGCCGTTAGTACTATGTTCACTGTTGACCCCGTAAGGAACGTAGCGTGAAGCTAAAAATGTCACTGAATGGAATTTAATCTCTTATCCAAATATGTTGTCTTCAACAAACGGTCACTCTGAAGATTTGTCTGTTTCGTAAATTGAACAGAATTCAACAAATCCTGAATTATTTAGTTTTATAGATCCTTTAACATCGATAAATTAATTCCCCTATTATACGACATAGAACGGTAAACAAGCCAACAGTCCACCTGATGGAAAATGGTCACTGTAACCTATAGACATGAGTAGTACCGTGTTGCTAGCCCTATCAGGTCAACCTCCACGTGGTTTTCCCTGGAAATCATCGTGAACAATTCTTGTTGAATTCGTCACGTTGAGCTAACTGACCTGCTTCATCCTCACCTATCATCCCTCACTGGTGCCCCGCCGGTGTATACCGATGGCGCGGGTGGCGTTACCATTCCATTGTCATCCAGTACCGTGAACAGGAGAGAGAGGAATTGTCAGTAATGCGGAATACGAGTCCCATTGCTAGCAATATACCCTGCCAGGTCGACCTCCACGTGGTCCCACCTGGAAACCATTGTGGTTAATTACTGTTAAACTCCTCACTAGTACGTTATACGGAGTCTATGATCAGCTTCATGTCCTCACCTCTCATGCCTCACTGGTAGCCCGCCTGTGTATACCTGACACAGCACGTGTAGGGTCACTTTTTTACTTTCACTTCTCCTCGCGTATCTCGTAGAAACACCAGAGGGAGACTTTGTATAAAACTCGATTGCTTGGGTACCTCTGTCCCATTCGTGTTTCAACCGTGAAGCAGTTGTGTTTCGGTTTGAAGGGTGGGATATGGCGTGAGTTTATAGGATACAGAGGAATAACACCTGAGTCCTCAGGAATGGTAACACATGGGAGGTATCATGGGCGAAACAGTATACTATGCTATACTGCTCATGTCTATAGGCGACGGTTACCACTTTCCATCAGGTGGGCCGTCAGCTTGTTTGCCGTTCTAAGTTGTATAAAAAAAATATTCTGGAATGCATTTTAAGCAACTGCTCTAAGCCTACGGCAGCTTCATTACAGCTGGCTTCAATACAGGTATTAAAATGAAAAAGGCATTAAATATTCTTGAAATAATATTTATTTCACATATGAGTAAGCGTTATAGAGTTATATACAATACATAAGTATGATCCGTTATTCTATACACAGCACAACAGCGAGGAAATATCTGGCATGACTTCGTAGCAAAGAAGGGATTTTGTAATACCTACACCTACACTAATATTATTAAGAGGAAAGATTTGTATTTTTGTGTCTATGTATGTTTGTAATGAATACGTAAGCTTCTGAGGTAACAAACATGAAAGAAAAAATACAACCGAATCCAGACATTCCTTTTTTTGAAGTCGATTGATAAAAACGCATGCCAAGTTCGTTCCCTAGCTGTGCCAACTATATAAAAACAAACAACGAGCGTCAAGTGGTCGCGGCGACACGCCGCGCCACTAGTGCCGCGCCGCGGCGCGCGCTGCCAGCCGGTGCGGCTCGCTGCTATAGCTGGTAGTCCCTGGGGTCGTACAGCTCGGAGAGGAGCCGGTAGATGTAGGACGGGGAGCTGCCGCCGCTGCAAACGGGATTGTTATTCAATTAATATTGAACATATTGGTACAACATCACCCACTGAGTTGTGGCCATTTTGTATTGTTATGGCGCACGCACAAAAGGACAAATTGTACTCGGCTTTATGTATTTTTTTTAAATAATTTGTCTAATTTATTTATTTATTTATTTTGTGATACATAGGTAACAATGGATGGTAAAACAATATAAGTCCTCTATAATCAACCCCATCTATCGAGCTATACAAATTTACAATTACATAAGAAAACATTTATATTATATAAAAAGAAAAATCAGCAATGTCACATTTATATAAAAAGAAAAATTAGCAATGTCACATTTATATAAAAAGAAAAATCAGCAATGTCACATTTATAAAAAAGAAAAATCAGCAATGTCACATTTATATAAAAAGAAAAATCAGCAATGTCACATTTATATAAAAAGAAAAATCAGCAATGTCACATTTATATAAAAAGAAAAATCAGCAATGTCACATTTATATAAAAAGAAAAATCAGCAATGTCACATTTATAAAAAAGAAAAATCAGCAATGTCACATTTATATAAAAAGAAAAATCAGCAATGTCACATTTATAAAAAAGAAAAATCAGCAATGTCACATTTATATAAAAAGAAAAATCAGCAATGTCACATTTATATAAAAAGAAAAATCAGCAATGTCACATTTATAGTAAAAAAATATAATTATGGAACTTTATTACATTTATCTTCAAGGAAATCGTCAATTGAATAGTATGTTCTGTTTACTAGGTGTTCATACAGTTTAGTTTTATATTTTTTTATGTTATCTATGTCTGTGAGGGATTTAGGTAATTTATTATATATTCTAGGTGCCTAGGACAAATTGTACTCGGCTTTATGTATTTTTTTTTAATAATTTCTCTTATCTCGCTTTTTATGTATATCTATCTATATGCGTTATAATTTGTGTGCTGTAAGTGATGCAAATAAATTATCTATCTATCTATCTAGTTGGCAACTAAGTACATTTTTTTTATACAACTTAGAATGGCAAACGAGCTGACGGTCCACCTGATGGAAAGTGGTAACCGTCGCCTATACACATGAGCAGTACCATGGACATAACAGAGTGTACTGTTTCGCACATGATATCCCCATGCGTTGCCGTTCCTGAGGACTTGGGTGTTATTCCTCTGTACCGTGTTAATTCACTGCCATATCCCATCTTTCAAACCGAAACACAGCCATGCAAACACAACTGCTTCTCGGTAAAAACACGAATGGGACAGAGGTACCCAAGCAATCGACTTTTGTACAAAATCTGCCTCTGGTATTATTGAAATAACCATTTTTTACTACTAGTATATGAATATCTATATGGTACATACACCAAAATAACATTTTCACAATTTTTGTCTGTCTGTCTGTTTGTTCCGGCTAATCTCTGAAATGGTTGGACCGATTTTGACGGAACTTTTATTGGCAGGTAGCTGATGTATTAAGGAGTAACTTAGGCTACGTTTTTTTTAGAAAAATTCTTTTATTTTAGAAAAATAAAGCAATGTTGCAATATCCAAGTACTGTCCAGTACCGCGCGCAGCTCACGCGCATGCCACCACTGCACTGTAGTGGCGCGGGAGAGGGGCAGGGGGGGAGCGGGCACATCTACGTAATAGGTAGCTAGGCAGGTACAGATAAAAATGTAAAATGTTGTATAAATGCCTACCCGTGCGAAGCCGGGACGCGCCGCTAGTATTAGTGTAGTGTTTTTCTTTTCCTACTTTGTCTACATATAACTGTAATGCTATGTACGCGCTTACTTACAGGTTGGTGATGAACAGGGTGATGTGGTCGGGCGGCACGTAGTCGTACAGCGGCGCGTACACGTGCACCGAGCTGCTCTCGCTGCGCCTGCGCACCGACGCGACGTGCACGTGCCACCAGTAGCCGGCAGACAGCCACGCCACACGGATAACAATCATAATAAAAAAAACAATTAAACATACAAATGGTACTTAGACAAGTAGGTCCATTTTGAATCTTTGAATACACCTTATAGAAAATTTAAATATTTCCCCAATTGTTTCCAAAACAATGCGGCTCAAAGATACGTAAAACTGTTTCAAATTTCAAATCCACAGCAGTAATTGCTGAGACGCCGTGACAGACGGACTGACAAACAGATACAAATCCATTTATCGTTCACTAGTTTTTTTTTTTATACCCCTGTGGTGGCAAACAAGCATACGGCCCACCTGATGGTAAGCGGTTACCGTAGCCTATGAACGCCTGCAATACCAGAGGTATTACGCGCGCGTTACCGACCCTGAAGAAACCTCTTTACCCCCCCCCCCCCTTTGAAGATTTCACGTGATACATCACTAATAAGAGAAACCATATCAATCAGCCTGTCCGCTGCTGAACATAGGTCTCTCTAATTAAGGGGGTATTATCAGTAGTTGCCACACTTGGCAAGCGGATTGGCGACCGCAGTTAGGCTTTACGGATGTTTTAAGAGGGACGCTGCTGCCTATCCCTCGCCCTCCCTTAGTCGGCTCTTACGACACCCACGGGAAAGGAAAGGGTGGCATTCTATGCCAAACCAAACGGCGGGTGTTATTATATTAGTTGCAAGTGGTGGGTGCTTCTAATAAAGACTGGTGTGTCCAAAAACACTGTGACCGATCGGAGGTTGGCAGCTTTTTTTTTTCTATTTATAAATACGATGTTTGTAATTGTTATTTTATCCATTCAAAATTTTTGTTATAAACTCAACTTTTATTTAAAAAAAAAAGCAACAACTGTATTTCTCGCCCATTCTTATTAGCTGAAGTTTCATTCCAAACTGGGCGATAGATCCATAAAAAAATGACAATTCATAAATGCTTATTATTTAAATTTACTTGAATACATATTACAGTAAGCCCCCCTTTATCGCGGCAGATTCGTTACGACTTGTAAGAGTACTCTCCTATAACGCGCTTGTACGACCCCGTATAATGTGCTTGTACGACCCCGTGTAACGCGCTTGTACGAGCCCGTATAACGTGCTTGTACGAGCCCGTATAACATGCTTGTACGCCCCTGTACAACGCGCTTGTACGAGCCCGTATAACGCGCTTGTACGATTCTGTATAACGCGCTTCTACGACCCTGTATAACGCGCTTGTACGAGCCCGTATAACGCGCTTCTACGACCCTGTATAACGCGCTTGTATATAATTGAAATAATCGCGTAATATGAAACAGTGTTATGGAGGGGGTGGGGGGACTACTGTATATGTCATGATTTATGTTGATGAGCGCGGGCTACTGACTGGTACGGCAGCGCGGCGTGCGGCGCGGCCAGCGCGTTGAAGTGGTGCTGGTCGCGCGCGTGCAGCGGACACAGCTTGTACAGCGGCGCCAGCACGATCACCTGCACCACACCACCACTGTATTGTACTGAACTACGTCCGTATCGGTCATTGACACATGAGCAGTGCCATGGATATAACAGAGTATACTGTTTCGTCCATGATACCCCCCATGCGTTGCCATTCCTGAGGACTCAGGTGTTATTCCTCTGTACCGTGTAAATTCACTGCCATATCCCACCCTTCAAACCGAAACACAGCCATGCAAACACAACTGGTTCACGATTGAAACACGAATGGGACAGAGGTGGCCAAGCAATCTGCTTTTGTAGAAAGTCTCCCTCTGGTAAGGTAATACAGACATAACTTAGAACAAGTCTTGGAAAACATATATCATTATTAATTTTCTAATAAATAATAAACATATAATTGTTAATTTTATATAAATATCATTATATTTTTTTTTAAAGATGAAAAAAGAATGAAAAAATATGTTTTAATGTATTTTGTATGTGATGTAACGCAATACATTTAGAAGACGTTTTTCAAGCTTTATTTGTAAATAAAAATCTTTTTTCATATCCAAGGACTTATGGGCAATATTGTATTTGGATTGAAATCCATTAATCTTCTAATTGACCTTCTGAGACTTCTGTCTGCACTAAAAGCAGTTAATTTTCTTAATAACACAACATGATTTACTTTGTCGAAGGCACCGCTGAAGTCAGCGTAGACTTTGTTAACTTGTTCACCATTACATTTGTATGTATGTCATTCATTACCTTTTTAAATGCCTTATGTTATATTCTTTGATTATATAGACAGAGTGTCTCCATACAAAAGCTGGTCAACTTTTTCATACAACACAAATTTTGCATGATAAATAGTTACGAGTGATTCCTTTATAACTTCTATATTTAACGTTTAACAAAATGACACGCTTCCAATATGTACATTGACGGTAAAGTTAAAATTTTATGTTTAATAAAGTATGGTTTGCAAGTTTCCCTGTTATCTATGTTAGCAATTATTCTGGGACATCGTTTTTGCAATTTAAAAAGATCAGTCACGTTTGTACTATTACCCCACACCAATATGCCGTACTGGAGCAAAGAGTGGGCATATGCATAGTAGGCGCACATGGCTGTCTTGGTATCAGAAGATATCTTTAGTTGGTGTAGTGCATAAGTGAATCTAGACAGCTTGGTAGCCACACTCTGCACATGCGCTTTCCAATTAATATTAGAATCTACATTTACACCTAACAGTGAATATTTCTCTACGCAATCTATTTTAATATTATTGAGAGAGTAGTTAATTTGCAGCGGGTTCTTTTGCAATGGACTGAAAACCATTAATTTAGTTTTATTAAAATTTACTTTTAAGTTATGTGAATGTAACCAGCTCGCTATTTAACATACTACCATCCAGTGTACTTTGTTTTATAAATTCTGAATCTTTTTAATGTATTGAATTCTCATTTTATTAATTGAAAAATGGGTCAAGATATATTTTATATGTAAGTATATAGAACACTGATAAAAATAACAGCTAATTTGCTAATTATATGACAAAAAGTTGGTCCGTTTTTGAGACTGGATGCTAGATGCTGGATGCTGGATGGTTGATGGTGGATGGTGGATGCTGGATGGTGGATGGTTGATGGTGGATGGTGGATGGTGGATGGTGGATGGTGGATGGTGGATGGTGGATGGTGGATGGTGTCCGTGTGTCCGTGTGTCCGTGTGTACGTGTGCAGGCAGGTGTGCGTTGCGTACGTACCGGCACGCTGTGGTGCTGGGCGGCCAGCGTGGCGGCGTGCAGCCCCGCGCCGCCCAGCGCCGCGCCGCCCGCCAGCACGGCCGCCGCGCCCACCACCACCTGCCACACATTTCCATTTAAACGCTAAACTACTGTTCTTATTTGGATAAAACTTCCATTGTACCAGTCTGTAAGTATATACTTTTACTTAAAAAAAAAAAAAAAAACTCTAAATTTGTTAATCACAACAAAATATTAAATAATAGCGAATACAACGAACACACACAATGTATTTTATCTATATTTCTTATTTTTTTATTATTTTTTTTTCAGTGGAATTTCGCGGCTCACTCTTGGCCACAACAGAATATCAGTGTTTTGCTCTTTTGAGGGCGAAGCAATAAACTGAGCTGTGACCATTTTGTGTTACTATGGCACACGCGTGAAGGGGAAAATTTTTTACTTATTTTATGCATTTTTTTTTGTACATGATTTTTCTTTTTTATCTTTTTCCACTGTACATTTGTGTCTATTGCTGTTTGCATGCTGTAAGTAATGCAAATACATTATCTATCTATCTAAATCCGTTTACAACTGACAAAGTTAGGTCTCGAGAAACATAAAATAAAATGCAACTGAATGGAAAGCCTTCTTCTATTTGAAGTCGGTTAAAAATGGACTAAAATATGATGATAGAGCGAGAAGGAAAAGGGCTGAACCTTCTTAACAATACATTAAGTTAAGCGGAGTAAAGGGAACACTAGTAATAGAGTGTAACAGCCCAATTGCTAGCACATTAATTGTATTGTTGTTAAGAGAGCGCCTGGCTGAGGACCAGCGCTGTGCAGCTGTACACAGTGCACCGGACGCTCGCAGCGTCAGCCGAGCCAGCTCCTCTTGCCTGGTACGGGACACTACTTATATATGTAATGTTTTTGTAGATTCTTTTGCAATTGTGTTTTTCTTGCAATATTTTCTATTCTATTCTATTTACTGTACTTAATATTTTTTTTTTTTTGTATGTTTCTAATTGAACTGTCAAATCTTAAAATCATTAAACGAAATTTCTGATGTAAGTAGTATATTTATTTATTTTAACATTTATTATATAAGTAGGTAGGTATTGTATGTATTTATGTAATATTTTATTATATATTTTAATATTTTATTTAACTGTATATTTGTTTATGTATTAATAGTTGTAGCACTTCAGCTGCCCGCTAGCGACATGCTTTCTAACTGCATTGGGTTGACTGGAAGAGATCTCTGTCAGAGATAAGTCCACCCTTGCTCACAACATTTATAAATAGATTATTTTATATGTAACTTACAAGTGCAATAATGAATATATATACTCTATCCGGTCGATCTCCACGCAGTAACCCATAGAAACCATCGTGGTTAATTCATAATGAATTCGTTACTGTGGGTCAACTGACCTGTTTCATCTTCACTTATCATCCCTGACTGGTGTCCCGCCAGCGTATACTGTTAGCGCAGACGGGGTTACCATTCCGTTATGAAAAAAATATATTGAGACTGTCTAGACTCCATTACCAACAATCCCTTCCCCCCACTTTATACACAAGAGGGCGGTACACTACAATCTGACCTTGTTGACCCTGGACATGACTCCGTAGATGCACTCGTTGCCGATGACCGTGACGGGAACGCCCGCTTGACTCAGCCGGGCTGCCATCGCGTGGGTCTGCAAGCACGACGCACCACACATAAAGAGAGAGAACAATACAGAAAAGGATAGTTACCAGAAGGAGACTTTGTACAAAAGTCGATTGCTTGGATACCGCTGTCCTATTCGTGTTTCAACCGTGAAGCAGTTGTGTTTGCATGGCTGTGTTTCGGTTTGAAACACAGCCATTCAAACACAACTGCTTCACGGTAGAAACACGAATGGGATAGAGGTGGCCATGCAAACGACTTTTGTACAAAGTCTCTCTCTAGTAAAAAGTATACAGACATGCCACAGTAGTTCTCAGGAATGGCAACAGATAATGGGCACCATGCGAGTCCCAGTATACTGTGGAATATCAACAGTATACGTCAGGCGTGGCCGCCAACTTGTGGGGCATTTACATAAAAAGCATTTTCTATAGGTTTTTATAAGATATATATATATATATATATATATATATATATATATATATATATATATATATATATATATATATATATATATATATTATATATATTTATTGGCAGTTAGTTTTTTTAGAAATTATAAGTTTGGTCGGCAACGCGTACATATTACCTCTGGTATTGCAGGCGTTCATAGGCTACGGTAACCGCTTACCATCAGGTGGGCCGTATGCTTGTTTGCCACCTCAGTGGTGTAAAAAAAAAGTTAATTTACTTTATAACAAATTCGAACGATAATGATCAGTACAGGGTAATGATGAATGACTGTGCAATAGTGAATACAGGGTGGTGTGTTGAGTGTACGGTGATGAAGGGTGAGTGCAGGGTGGTGAATGTAGGGCGGTAAGTGGTGGGTGGTGGGTGGTGGGTGCAGGGTGGTGAGCGGTGATTGGAGGGTGGTGGGTGCAGGGTGGTGAGCGGTGAGTGGAGGGTGGTGAGCAGCGAGTGGAGGGTGGTGAGTAGTGAGTGCAGGGTGGTGAGCAGCGAGTGGAGGGTAGTGAGTAGTGAGCGCAGGGCGGCGGGCGGTAGGTAGTGGCGGCGGGTACTGACGGCGGGCGGGTGCGGCCCGTCGGCCAGCAGCAGGCGGTAGCGGCGCGGCGCGGCGGCCCGCAGGAAGCGCTCGGCCAGCGCGCTGGCGCCGCACGACAGCAGCAGCTCGTCCGCGTGCACGTGCGAGCGCGCCTGCGCCACCACCGCCGCGCGGCTCGCCTCCAGCTCCGCGCGCAGCTGCACGCATGCACACACTCCTCACCACCAACTCTGTCACGCACACCACTTCGCTTTGCGGAGTGAGGTGCCGGCTTTGAGGTACATTTATTTTAAGTCGTATGTATTCTGGATCGTTCTCCCAGACGTCGGTCGCCTGGTTCCTCGTAACACAGGGAATCCTAGCTCGAGGAGCTGTGAGGTACTTATTATATTAATGCTTAGTGTTACACAACGATACAGGATCTCTGATCACGTCCCTTGCCTATGTTTCACTTCTTTTATCTTATTCTCTCCTTTTATTCCATTCTCTGTTTTGTTACTTTCATTAATGTTTTACTATCATCATCATCACAGCTTTCAACTATCCACAGCTGAACATAGGCCTCATCCATTAGGAGAGGAGGTTCACCAGTAGTTGCCACGCTTGACAGTCGGATTGGCAACCGCAGTTAGCCTTTGGGACGTTTTAAGAGAAACGCTGATCTAGAGTTAGGTATCCCTAGACCATAATTTTTCAAATTTTCGCGTACACAAGGTTTTTGCGAAAAAAATATCCAATCTGACAACATTCACTGCGCGGAAAATCGTTCGTCAATACACCGCCGCGGAACGCGACCAGCGATTGGTTAATTGTACAGTGTCGCCAATGTTTGGTCGGTGGAAAATCGAAAACGACGATTCTAAGTGTTCATATCCATGCGGCCGAAGGTACACTGAACGTGTCGCTCAGTGGGCGAGGATGGGAGGGGTGGGAGGCCGTACCTCTGAGATCTGGTCACGGATGGGCCCGCGCAGGTCGGTGCCGGCCGCGCCCAGCGTGCCGCGCCGCGCCGGCGTCGCCAGCACCAGCCGCTGCAGGCCCTCGCCCGCGCTCTCGCCGCCCTGCATCAGTGTACACACTGCACTACTCGTAATGGAGGCCAGCGAGCCACAGCAGACGCCAGGCCCTCCCCTCGACACCATCGTGACGAGTGCGCAGCCCTGACCTCATCCTCACCTAACATACTTAACTTCTACCAGCCCCATTGCTAGTAATAATAGCCTATTATCTCCACGCGGTTTCCCCTGGAGACCATCGTAGTTAATTATTGTTAAATTCTTAACGATGTGCCATCTGAGCTGAGGGGTTACTATATAATATCATTTGCATTCGCTCAATAAAACGGATCTACGACGTCACTCGGATTTGAATTGCGATACAGCGATCTGTTAGTTTTGCTTTATCTTTATACCACAACAGCTTCATAGACAGAATGTTAGAAAATAAAGTCACTCGCTGATAATGTGGCTTTATATAGATGAAAGATTGATGGGATGAGATTGGGTACCTCTGTGTCATTCGTGTTTCAACCGTAAAGCAGTTGTGGTTGCATGGCTGTGTTTTGGTTTGAAGGGTGGGATATGGCGTGAATTTACTGGGTACAGAGGAATAACACCCGAGTCCTCAGGAATGGCAACGCATGGGAGTATCATGGGCGAAACAGTATACTCTGTTATGTCCATGGTACTGCTCATGTCTATAGGCGACGGTTACCACTTTCTATCAGGTGGACCGTCAGATTGTTTGCCATTCTAAGTTGTATAAAAAAAAATCGGCTGAGTAGTTTTTGAATGTATCTATTAAAAATAAACAATCAAATCTTTTCTCTTTATAATATTAGTATAGACAATTAATTTTGTGGTAAAATATAGATAAAAAGGGGAATTTATAGACAAAAATGGGAAGACAGACTTTACGATATAAAGTCGGATCCACACTACAATTCGTTCACAGTGTGCTCTCGGTACGGTTAGTAGAAAAAAATAAAGATTGGCTGTGACTAGAACGAAATTGGACTTTTCATATGTACTAATAGATTACTAGATCGAAACCAAATTAAAAAACGGACCGAGATAGCTGTGGTGGATTAAGCCCGCCAGAGACTTAGGTAATAAAGCTGTATCGCGAACGATACGGAGCCATGCTGAGCCCCGTCGATCCTTGTGAACGGTATGAGCTCACCAGGTTGGAGGAAAAGGATTGTTAGCAATGAAGTTTGACCGCCCCATTGCTGGCAATATGCCCTGTTAGGTCAACTTCCACGTGGTTCCCCCTGGGAACCATCGTGAACAATTCTTGTTGAATTCGTCACGACGTCACGTCAGGGCTAACTGACCTGCTACATCCTCACCTATCATGCTTCACTGGTGCCCCGCCGGTGTATACCGATACATTACCATTCCATTTTCATCTATTAAAAAAAACTCACCAGGTTGGCGTGCGCGCTGTACTCGTCACGTATGAAGCGCAACACGCGGCGCACCATGTTGGCGGCCGCCAGCTGCTGCGGCAGCGCGCGGACCACGCGGCGGCCGGCCGCACGCACCGCCGCCGACAGCTCGCTGCGGACCGCGCCGCATGCATGGCCTCTTATTACAAGTACAACACAAAACCCTAATAGGGGAGGGATGGGGACTACCAATCCCATTGCTAGCAATATATCCTGTTACTTCGACCTCCCCATGGACCCCCCTGGAAACCATCGTGCTGAATGCCAGGTGTATTCATCCTGATGAGCTACCTGACCTACCTTTTCATTCTCACCTATCATCCCTCACTGGTACCCCGCCAGTGTATACCGTTAGCGCAGGCGGAGTTACCATTCCATTATCATCCACTAAAAAAGAATCTACCCTAATATAATCACAATTAATAAGAGCAATAGAAGCCAATTATTGTCTTCGAATTAGAAATTTCGTTTCTCTGTCTTTATGTTAGTTCCAAGATCACTTCTGTGTTTTTCACTGGTGTGCTCCTGAAGGTCTAACTTAAAGGCTGGTGTTTGTTTTATTTTGATACACATTTAAAAATAGTCTATTTCATTGCTTTTCCAGGAATTAGTTGGCAAAAACAGTGTAGAACGACACCCCATTATATGGAGTGACGGCCTCAAATGCATTGCAGGGAGTTGGGGAATGCAGGTGGCTCAGGAGCACTCCTTGGAGTTAGACAGTTAACAGCTGATGTGTTGATTGCCGTAGTGGCATGGTAGCTTGGTGCGAGGTGATGCTGGTATATCATAGTTGAATTGATTCTCTTAGTTAACTCTTTTATTTCTTGGTTAATCAGTAGTGACATATATTATTATTATTATTAAGTATGATATAGCTCATTTATTTTTTGAAATAATTTAAAAAATTGGCCAAGTGCAAGTTATACAAGTATACATTGTCATCACATATTTTGCATTAAAAATATTTTCTAGGCAAAAACTTTTTGCGGGTTGGCAACTGCTGTTACACTTTACTGGTGTTTTAAGTGGGACACTGCTGTTCACTCCTCATCCATAACTTCCCTTAGTCACCATTTACGACATCCACAAAAAAGGAAAAAAAAAGAACAATGACACATAATTTCAATACAAGAAATAAAAACAAATTGAATGTTCCTTGTTATTGCCTTAGAAAAGTCAGTACATCTTTCATGGGGAACTGTATACATTTTTATAATAAACTTCCAGATGACGTTTTACATTTAAATGAAAGAAAATTTAAAATATATATATAAAAAGGACTCTCTGCACAAAAGCATATTATAAATTAAATGACTAGCTAAATGATAAAACTGCATGGATTTGAATATTGTATTAATGTGAATTGTATTGTAAATGTAATTATTGTAATTTTTCTTAAATCAATATTATTGTATATAGTAATTATTATAATTATAGATTGACGTATCATAAGTATCTGTAACAGACGTATATGAATAAAGATGATTGATTGATTGATTGATTGGAAAGGGTGACCCATTCTACCAGAACCACACATCTTTTAAAATGTGGAATTCTAAAAACCAATACTATACTCACAAAGCGGTGGTGTTCTCCAGGTCTCCAATGATCTGCTCCAAACAGGACACTGTGGCCATGGCTATTTTATTTGAGCCTTCAAGCTTCCTGATGGGAAATAAATAGAACTGCTTAAGTTTAATTCAGTTAGTTGTCTAAGATATATATATAATATATATAACATTGATGTTTATTGTACATTAAAATCAAATAAGAAAAATTCTTAAGAAAAGAATGAGTATAACAGTGGACTATTCTATAAAAAGGATTCCTTCCAAGGCTGTCTACCTTTGAATTCATAATCCGTTATATTTGTGTGTATAGGAGACAGTTATTGCTTCCCAGCTGGTATGGGGGTTATTAGCAATGGAGTTTGACAGCCCCATTGCTAGCAATGGGGCTGTCAAACTATAAATACTGATGGTGACAAATTAAACAATAAAATTAATTACAATAGTATCCAGGGGAAACTACTGGAGGTCATCCTGATAGGGTATATAGCCAGTAATGGGATTGCTAATTCCCATTACTAGCAATCCCCCCTCCCCCTACCATAGGTATTAGAGTGCATTCATATGTAATAGTATACATTTTCCATCAGGTAGGCTGTTAATTTTATTATTGCGTTACACCTATATTAACGGCAGGTCCAGGGCTCTTATATATGAACACAGAGACCAGAGTTGATGTTCTAAAGAAAACTTATGCCACGACATACCCGCTGCGAATGTCTGTTATGAGTTTCACTACAATGGCTTCATGATTCTCGGACAAATCCTTAGTTTCTACTTCTGTTGACGACATTTTGTTATAAAATTATTAAATTTTCTATTGATGATTTCAATAAGTCATAGGTCCCAAATATTAGAAACCTAAACACAAAATATAAAAGAAAACATAACCTAAAAACTCAAAATTGTTGATGTAAATCAACGACTGTCAATTTTTTTTTTTTTTTTTTAGTCCGTTTGTTCCGTTTGGAACAGGCTAAGGTCGGAGACCATGCTGCCTAGTCTTCAAAAAGATAATTTGTCTGGAATACAACGACTGTCAAGTGTCAATGTCAAAATAGATGCTACGTTCAAAAATATAACTGAAGAGTATAGGTGCAAATCTTATTAATACTACATCTATGGGTACAATCCTTAATTTTAGAAAAAGAAAGACACTAAACCTTTTGAAAGATATAACAAAATAATTGTAAAGATATTGCAAACAGCTCGGCGTCATTAAGTGTTTTCTTTCAATTTTTTAACACTCAATCAATATAAAAAATAAGACTAAAGAATTATATAGTAAATCAAGAAATCTATACGTTTATAAATAATAATTTACTACAAAGAAGGCCTAGTTTGTCGTGGCACATAAATTATTGGATATTTCTCTCAAAGTCATTTATTAAGTAAAAGCATTGGGATTCTTGGACTTGTTATTTTGAATGACAATTCTAAGAACATTTGGAAGAAAAAGCGAAATTGGCCTCTAAGAAACTTCCAATCCTAAATAAGGTGAAAATGTATTTCGTGCTTTTCACAATTCAAATTTGCTCACATATGAAATACTACTCACGTCTTTGGGCATAAGCACCCCAATCAACTCATTCCACTTGATTCCATACAACATTGAGCAGTTTTAGTTGTCGACGATCCCATGCTAACGCACGATTTGGAGTCCTTGAGTTCGAGGCGGATATTGCCTCTTTATCCATTTTCTGTCGTCCGTACAATGGGGAGTGTTCCAGGGAATTATGACCTGATGCCATCGTCTCTTTTACCATCGTACTTCTCGCCATAGAATCGGAGTTCACCCTTATTTCTTGGGTGTGTGACACACTACCACTGTCCGTGCATCCTATTCATTTCTACCTTATACATCTAGATTGTAAAATCAGATCTCGTTTTGGGGGAGAAAGGATTGTTAGTGATGGGGATTAGCGATACCATGATTAACAATAAACTCTATCATGTCGACCTCCTCGCGGTTCCCCTTGGAAACCGTTGTGATTGATTTATTGTTGAATTCGTTACAATGGGCTAACTGACCTGTTCATTCCTCACCTATCGTCTCTCACTGATGCCCCGTCAGTATATACCGATAGCACAGGCGAGGTTACCATTTCATTCTCATCCATTAAGAGCTCCCGTCTTCAGTTTTTCCCTTACAATATAATATGGGGTTTTTAAAAGAACGTCACTACAAATATTTAAAAGACTGACGACGTACAAGTTGCTTGTACTCCTCTCGTGTTGCAGGTGTTTGTGGCGTCTGTAAATAAATATTGTACATATTCATCTCATAGCCACTTATAAACATCATGACTTCCTTTTCCATCAAGGAGGTTGATCAAATTGTAAGTAAATATTTCACCTCTTTCTTTCTGATTTCTGAGGCCGTACAGACATGACAGCGACGTTTTCTTCTTACATTCATTTTCGCTGTCATCCTCTCTATCTCGATCGCTCGCCTCCCACACTTCTAATTTCTGGTTTTTATATTATTTTCTGTATATTTTCATTGTAAATACCTTCTGTATATAATATATGTAAAAAGACCTAGTTGTTCCAATTATTTACCTCTAACAACGACATATTCATGGGTGAGGCTAGCCAATTGCCGCCAGGTAGACCGTCTACTCGTTTGCCTCCATAACAATAAGAAAAAAACAAAATTGTTTGACGTAGTTGCTCTAAAATAAAAGTAACTATTTCGGGACTTTATAAAGATGTTTTTTTCCCTAAGCGATACTGCATACATATTACGCTGATCCCAAATAATATGGGATAAGGGTAGAACGATGACTTGCTTGTATTTAAGAATATGCCTATGGGTTAGATTTTCACTTAATTCAGATATTGGTATGCAAAAGTCTGCATATAGTATAGGTTTATATATTATAATCTGTCATTATATATATATATATATATATATATATATATATATATATACACGAGTATATATATATATATATATAAAAACAATAATTATTTATATAAAACGGTTACTGTCTTAAAAAAAGATATGTTATTTTTTATTTATTTATTATAATAAATCAAATAAATACAATTATGTAGTATAATAAAAAAATATTTCGATTTCGACTTCTAATAATATTTTCTTTTAGATATCTAACTTGTTTATATTTTACTTTTATTATTACTTAATAAGTACAACTTAATTTTTCAAATCAACTTCCACGCAATATGGCCAAATATATATATAAGAACCTTACGTTCTTTATTTTTACTTATCGTCTTACATAATTTCAATTTGGTCCAACCAGTAACAATAGGAGAATTTTTAAGGAAGACAACAATAACTCAGTAGGGAATCATCCGGTGCCAATACAAATCAAAGAGCATAATATGTAATGAAACAAACAAGAAATATGTAAAAGACCGTATCAAAATAAAATAAAAAAAAAAAACCACAATCGTAAATATAAAATCAAAGATCAAAAAAGGACAAAATAAAAAAGTCCTAATGCATTTTGCAATAATTAGATATAAAGTTAATCACTACAAACATGATCTTTACAGGAGCATAACTTAAATATCTTGGGTGTTCCCACAAATAAATTGGATTTTAAATCCTCCCAATGTACACGCCGATGTTTTCTTTTTCTTGTTCTTGCTTGCACAGGTTGCATCTCTGTTCCATCAACTATAGGAAATGATTTTGTAGTCGAAGCTTTTTCTGTAGCGATTTCTTGCTGCAGCATACTTTCTCCTGTGCTATTAAGTTGGGTTGCATTATCATCTAGAACAGGATTCACTACGGGTGTCGATGGTACCCTTATACTATATACTTGCTGGGATTTCCTATCTTCTGCTCTGTTTAACCGAGTCTCTATCTCATTTGAACCAGGTATAGGAGTGGACGTCATTTTTATATTGTTAACTTGCTGAGGTTTTCTTCCTTCTGTTCTGTTAATTTCATTCGCAGTGTCATCGACTATAGAATCTGGTAAGGCAGTTGACGTTACTCTTATACTATGTACCTGCTGAGAATTTCTTTCTTCTATTCTGTTAAATCCGCTCGTAGTGTTTTCAACTACAGGATCTGGTAAGGGAGTCGACGTAGCCCTTGTAATAATTACTTGCTGATATTTTCGTTCTTTTATTTTGCTAACTTCGCCTGCAGAGTTATCGATTATAGGGTCTTTTATGGGTGTTGACGTTATCCTTCTAATAATTACTTGCTGTCTTCCTTCCCTGGCTCTGTTAAGTCCAATCTCTGTCTCATCTATCAATGGATCTATTATGGGTGTGAATAATTCTTTTTCTTCTATTTTATTTATTTCGATTTCAGTGCCGTCAACTATAGGATTTGGTATGGGTGTTGATGTTACTCTTTTATAATGTACTCGTTGAGATTTCCTTTCCCCTGATCTATTAAGCTCAGTCGCAGTATTATCTATTATACGGCCTACTAGTGGAGTAGACGTAATTCCCATCTCTTCAAGTTCATTTGATTCAATATTATTTTCCGATGACAAATTTGCTATTTCATCACTTTTATTTTGGTTACTGTCTGATTCAACGGAAGTGGAAAGTCTCATACCCAAATTAAGTATATACGTCTCTGAATTTTGATTTGAATCTTCTGTAGACGTATATGACATTTGTTCCTGTTTATCTTTGAAAGGCGATGGTGGAGAGATTATTTCAGATTCCATATTAAAAGTATATGTATTTCTGTTTTCAGACGACAGTGAGCATAATTTTATGTCAGCATGGAATGACTGACCGCTTACTTCTGACGTGGAAACATCTTCCCATTCGTCATTTGTGCAGTGTATCTGGGACATTTTTCTCGAACCAAAATCAGTATTCTCTTTAACTTCATTCTGTGAACTATCTTCTGATGCATGAACAGTTCCCATTGATTGTCTTCTAACGATTTGTGATCTCACTACTTCAATAGATCTACTACTTTCAACATCATCTGATGTGTCCAAATTGATAATTTCTTGAATGGAATCTGAAATGATTTCAATATATTACTAAGTATTCTTAAGCACCAGATAATAATTTGATAGGATCAGTATGTAGTACCTATTACGCCAGAATTATCATCGCCATTTTAATAACCCACGGTTTATGCTAAACATTAAATTTGTGTATATCTGTAACACTAAATTTATCTACCTATTTGTATTTTAACAAAATATTTCAAATAAATATATTATAATTTGCTCCACTGATGCTGTGTAATCAATAAAATGGCGTCTCTTAGTAAATATAGCTTTTATATCAATTTCTAACGTGATGCTAAAACAATAGCATCTTAGAGCTCAGGAGCAGCAATATATAAGGGAACAATAATTCATTTCATGTAGAGCACAAATATTGTTTACATTTCTTGTCTTTTCAACCAACTTCAGAAAGAACGAGGTTCTCATTTCAGTTGTAATTTTTTTAAGTTCGTTACCGCAGAACATCATCAGTTCTAAACCGATTTGGGAAATTCTTTTTTATCTGGAAGAATATACTTATAGATTGAGTCCATAGGAATTTTATTAAAATTGATTTAGTAGTCTAGTTTTTCAATCAAAATAGCTGACTGAGTCAAAATTGAAGTTGTTTTTATTTTTGGAACATAATCTTAATTATCTTAAAGTATAATAAATGTTACGTATGTATATGTATTCCCATACTAAACTTGTTCTTTGCCCGCTATTTTGTACGTGTGGATTTTAGAAATAGGAAAACCAATGAAATAACTAGACTACCTTTAGATGACGTATCAGGATAAAAACATACACCAGTATTAAATTAGACCTTCAGGAACATAATTGTGGAAACTGCATCCAATTTAATGCAGTCGTTTTCGCGTGATGCCAGAACAAACATACAGAGAGACGGACACGATTTCTAAAAAAAAATATGTTTTAGTTTCTACTGCTTTTATTAAGACGTTTCAGATTATTTTTTCTTATATATTTCCCATGTACAGAGTACAGACATTGTCTACATACAATTTTATTATACTTGTAAAATAAGATATTATAAAATACTAACTAGTTCTTTTCTCCGTCCCGTCTGATGAAGCTTCTCTTTCATCTGTTTGATCAGCATCAGGTTCTTTCTTCTCAACAACTTTCCCGCTATGATAAGCATTCGTTGAAACAAAACTTTTCTTAAAACTATAAACCTTCTCGTCCTCATAAATCAAACTAAAATCAGACTCTACATCTGTTGCCTCATTATGTACATCAGCTTTGCAAATGATTTGTCTTAAACAATTAGAAGATTGTTCCGACAATGTTTCTTGATCGCCTGGTTCTGTAACATCTTCATATTTAACTTTGATCTGTTTCATTTCTTTCCTTTCAGAGTCATTGGCTTGTTCAGTACAAAAGCTAGTAGTAAGCTTATCAGTAATCTTCGTTTTACCCTGAACCTTATCAATTTTGTGCACGTAATCAACCACGGACATCTGATCATACCGCTCGGAGACAAAATGAAAATCAGGTACCAAATAAGAAGACAAATCATCTAAATCATCCAAAGAAATGCTGTCATCGTTTAAGAATAATTTCCTATACAGTTTACGCATTTTTATTTCCAATTCTTGGTAGAATTCTTCTGGCTCATCATGGCGATTTGGCTCCTTTTCTATAATGAGGGGTGGTAAAGGACTGACAGCTCTCACTGACTCTCTTGGTGAATGCTCTTCCTCAGGGACCGGTGATAGGGCTGCAAATAAAATGTACATACATAAACTCGATTTTATCTCGTTTTCACATAAGTATTGTGAATTTATCGCGAAGTTAAGGTACTATAATCCTTACTAATATTAAAAAGTTTGAAAGTTAGTTTGTTTATTTATTACCTTACAGCGGCTTAACGATTTAATCAATAATTTTGAAATTTGATATACAATTACTATGCGGAATGCAGATGAATATAGGCTATTTTTTCCTAGTCAATAAACATATTCTCGTCACGGCAACGAAGTCGCGGGTAAAAGCTAGTTATGTACTGTATCATCATCTCGGCCATTATCTGTCCACTGCTGAACATTGACCTCCCCCACAGACTGCCACAAGGAACGATCCTGAGCTACTGATTGCCTACAATGCATTTGAGTTCGTCAATCCATTTAGTGGGGGGTCGTCCCACACTGCATTTGCTCATACGGGGTCGCCACTCAAGAACCTTTCTTCCCTATCGGTGGTCGGTTCTTTTATCTATGTGATCAGCCCATTGCCACTTTAGCTTATCCTTTGGGATAAACAAGCTGAAGTTACGTACATAAATTAGACAAATTATATCATTACCAGCACATATGTAGTTAAAAATTACATGACTTACTTGGAAGATCGACAAACAGACTGCGAATTATAAAATCTTTCTTGCGCTCCCATTCCACAGAGTCACTGTAATTCATTTTTTTACTTTTTTTTTTCTTATATTTTACTAACATTCACACAATTGTTAAATATCTTAAATTGAAGGCAGTTATACGAACAATTCTAAATTAATTTTTAATTTTTATTTAACCTACCTTCATTCTTATTTTAAAATGTATCATACCTAATGACAGTAATTACACCTTTATAATTTTAATAAAAAAAAAATTAAACTAATATAATTAAATTAATTTAATTATACATATTAATTATTTGGTTTTTAGAATTGATTTTAGATTTTTTCTGTTTAAAAATACAGTTTAACTCTTACTTAAATTGATGCTGTGTTTTTTTCTACCGCTACCTAGCGTTTGTTTTTCTTACATAAAACTATCCTGTCTTTTAAGTTAGAGCAATCAATGTTTAAATATTTATTAAAATCGATCGAGCTTTTTTGGAGATTAGTGTAAATGAATATTACGAACGAAATTTTTATTTAATAAAAACAAAAAAATAAGTAGGTATTCCATTATTTTAAAATTACAGAAATTTACATGGAAGATTCGAGTGAAGCCTATGTATAATTTTAATGAAATGAAGGCATAGGTATTATTTTTTCTGTTATATCAGTTTATTTTTTAGTGCACTTCAATCTACCTTTGTATTATACTTCGTTAATCGTTAAAAGTAATACTAAAATAATTTTTATAATAAAATAATTATAAAGTAATTTAAAGTTCTTATCCAAGGGGTGGTTGCATTGTGCTGCTGTATGGCGATTGAATTGCTTTAGCTAAAATATAGGCCTGCCTTCTAAACTTTCTGAAAGCCGTTGTGATACCTTAATCTATGCAATGAGATACAGTTAAAAAAAAAAATAAAAATGTAAGACAGCTGATTGTCAAATGGCCTATTAGGTATTTGTTGTCTGTGCAGTTTACTTGCTGTCACTTTCAAAATAAATCGATACATATTACAAACTAATTCTATTCCGATTAAATGTAATTTCTCTTTCTAAAGACTACTATTATAAAAAATTCTGACTCCAAACATGTCACTTTCAAGTGTATCTTGTGTTTCAATATGAGTTTTATTGTTGTATTTCGTTGAGACGTAATGTATTTAATTGTTTGTACTTCGGTAACGCTTGAGCGGTTTTTAAAGCCGGATATGTTGTGTTCTATTGATCGAATCTCATCGTAATGGACCTGTCCCCGGACGAGGACCACTTCCAAGGCCGTCTGCTGCACCAGGTCGGTGTGGTGACCTTACTTTTTCATACTTGGTGATGTCATAATATATTGCCAATTTTGCGGCCTTCAGCTCCTTGTATGCGCCTCTGCTGTGTCGGTGGTAATTTGTAACGCTCACGCACTGTCGTAATGCACTAAGTTATTGTTTAAATGCCTTTTACATATTATTCATATTTTATAATTAATTAAAAAAATTGAATAAAGAATTATTTTTGCTTGAGATAAATTTGTTTGTAATTCGAAGTAATAAATACGCTTATGTTATCATTATTTAATATTATATTCCTCTTTTTCTATTTGTAAAACATGCTGTGTTTCTTTTGACGTTATTGTAAAATGTGTTAATATAATATAAATAAATAATCCTAAAATTAATGTGTATCCATATAATATGTTAATTATAATAAATCATGTTTCATTATGCTTGAAATTGTCATCTCCTTTTAAATATTAGTACTGCTCATGTCTATAAGTGACGGTTACTACGTTCCATTAGGTAGGCCATCAGCTTGTTTGCCATTCTAAATAGCATAAAAAAAAAATAGATTAAAACAATTTGGTTAGATATGAAAAAATACTATGTGACTACTTCAATTTTTGGAAAAAAATATTCTAATATAATAGATGTTTTTTTTTTGATGGGTGAAAATGGTACGGTAACCCCGCCTGCACTAATGGGATACGCTGGCGGAGCACCAGTGAAGGGTGATAGGTGAGAATGAAAACAGGCCAGTTAGCACATCATGATGAATTCATACAGAATTAACCATGATAGTTTCCAGGGAGAACTGCGAGGAGGTCGACCTGGTTGGGTATATTGCTAGCAATAGGATTCTCAGTCACCATTACTAACAATCCCTTTCCGCCCAATATAATAGATGTTAATATTAGCTAAATACTGAACACAAACATTGTAATCATTAATCTAAACATCGCTAAAAGGCATCTATAAGGTCTGTGTTGAGGAGTCCTAATGGTTTTCTAAAACTGGTTCTACATAGAAATCTGTACAGTATACTCAGCTGTATGCAACAACAAAACTAAAGAACAAATATATTCACTTAAAAATATAAGTATAAGCAAGAATGAAATAAACTGGAGCAGGGAAGAAGCCTTTTATTTTATTGGATAAGATACCCAAGAAGAGGCTCTTATTATAAATATAATATAAATTTATATATATAATTACTAATTATATATTTTTATTTAACTCTTTAGTGTATCTAATACATAAAAATATATAATGGCAGTTAGAAAATCCATTCACCAAAAGACAAAAAAAAATCAATTATATTCAATAATACCTTTATATTCCCATATATTTGATATAAGAATAAAAAAATATAATAAATATAAAATTGCAAAAAATATATAATTTCAATAAAAAAAATTATATTATATAAGAGTATTATAGATAGATAGACAGATACTCTTTATTGTTTCCTCCAAAAGATTACAATAGTAAACTTATTATAAATATAAACAATTACACAAAGACAAGAACTAATCACAATGAGATTATATCCCACATATTTGCTTTATACATTATTTCTGAACAATAAAACCCTTGTTAATGTTAGTCAAGTTTTCCCAGAGTAAAATGCCATAGCACCACCAGGCATAGCACTTGAGTCCTCAAGAATAGCAGCACATTTGGAGTTTTAAAGGAGTCACAGTGTATTCAGTGATGTTCATGTCTATACCACGGTGTTAATTACCACTGTCTAAAAATAGAATATTTTTAAATTATCTAGGAAATAGGAATGGGAGTTGTTTGCAGATAAATTACTGATTTATGCCCTCCCTCCGTTCAGGCTGCACTATGGGACAACGTGGAGCTCCTGCAGGAGCTGATAGCGTCGGGCGCGGAGGTGGACGCGCGGGACGCGAGCCTGCGCAGCGCTGTGCACGCGGCGGCGCTGGCCGAGCGCAGCCGCTGCCTCGCCGCGCTGTGTGCTGCCGGCGCTGACCTCGACGCCGTGTCCGATGCCGCCACTGGTGGGAAGGTAGTGCCACAGTACAAGTAATAGTTCTAAAGAACTGTAAGAACACTCCCTGCCACCATCTGCGATCTGATCTTATCCCCTCTCAAGTATGCATTAGTGTCCAAACTCTACTGGACGTCTTTAGTTTATGCTTCAGTTGCCGCCGATGTCAAAGAAGGATAGATAGATTGTTATGGAAAATTCAAAATCAACTGTTGCATGCCACAATAACACTGTAATTATTTGGAAGTGGCCACTTAAACAGCTGACTAAAATAAATAAATATATATATGTATGTATGTATGTATGTATAATCAAGGTCCATCTCCTTCTTTCACCATGGGTGATGTAAGAGGCGACTAAGGTAGGGCGAGAGATGAGCAGCAGTGTCCCTCTTAAAACATCACCGCCTGACAAACGTGGCTTATGTATACTGGTGGACAGTTAAGGGCTGATATGATGGTGATGACCTGAATTCTCTCGGTGTCTCGACCGGCTCACACTGTCCGTGTTAATTAATTAACGTAAATAAATACGTGCGATAACTGTGGTCTCTTATAAAACGTTCAGTCCGTACAGTTTCTAGAGGATTGACTCCCCGTTGTGCAGACGGCGCTGCACATCGCGGCGGAGCGCGGCCACGTGGAGAACGTGCGCACGCTGGTGGCGGGCGGCGCGGCGCTGACCGTGGCCGACGCCGGCGGCGCCACGCCGCTCGCGCTCGCCGACCGCCACGGCCACCGCCACGCCGCGCGCGCCCTCCGCGACGCCATAGGTACGAGCTTCGCTTCTCTACTAACGTAGTGTAACCGCCCCATTGCTAGCAATATACCCTGTTGGGAGGGAGGGATTGTTAGTAATGGGGAAGTCAGTCGCCATCGCTATCGATATAACTTATCAGGTCGACCTCCACGCGGTTCCCCTGGAAACCATCGTGACTAATTTATCGTCGAATTCGTCATAATGGGCTCACTGACTCGCCTTTCATGCCTACCTATCACCGCTCACTGGTACCCCGCCAGTGTATACCGATAGCGCAGGCGGAGTTACTATAACATTATCATTTAAAAAAAGACCCTCAAGGAACCTTGATACGTTATATATAATATTTTAAATTTACGCACAAAGTTTTTTATTTTGGTCAGATTCGAACTTGCGACCTTAATGGTAATAAAGTCAGTACAATGTCCTACTGAATCATTGAAGCATTAAATTCGAGTGATACATAACAATGGCGTCGCCATTTCTCTAAATCTATATATATATATATATATATATATATATATATATATATATATATATATATATATATATATATATATATATATATATATATATATATATATATATATATATATATATATATATATATATATATATATTATATATATATATATATATTCTTTATTGCACTTGTAAATTACATTGTTAATGCATTTATAAATATTGTGAGCAAGGGTGGACTTATCTCTGACAGAGATCTCTTCCAGTCAACCCAATGCAGTTAGAAAACATGTTGCTAGCGGGCAGCTGAAGTGCTACAACTATTAATATTTAGTGTACATAAACAAATATACAGTTAAATAAAATATTAAGATACATAATAAAATATTACATAAATACATATACTATAAATAAATATAATATCTACCTACTTATACAATGGATGTTAAAATAAATGAATATACTACCTACAATAGAAATTTAGTTCAATGATTTCAAAGTTTGACAGTTCAATTATAAAAATAAATAAATTAAGATTATGACTCAAAGGAAAGAAAATGTAACTTCAACCTTTTCTTGAAAGAGGTAATTGAAGGGCTCTCTTGTATGTGGGAAGGGAGTTTGTTCCATAATTGGGCAGCTCGATACGAGAAAGAGTTGTAATATAGTTGTAGTATGTATCTCTTAATGTAATATTTTAATTTTATAATTTCATGTCTTCATTGCTTTATGGGTCATCATAAACTAGATTTATAATTTTGCTTCAATCAATTAGAATTTTTTTTTATGTTAGTCCTTACAATATCGCTGCGATATCCAGTTGAAATCTACACTAATATTATAAAGAGGAAAGATTTGTATATTTGTGTGTATGTAGGTTTGTAATGAATAAACACAAAAACTAATTTGCCAATTTCAAAAATTCTCTCACCATTAGAAAGCTACATTCACCCTGAGTAACATAGGCTGTATTTATTGCTAGAAAATATTAGGGATCCTTACTAAAACTTTAGTAACGTAACTCGAGGTGTAGAAAAAAATGCTATAAAATATCTTTGGTCGCGTGCGCTGCGGAAACTATTGGTGATAGAACAAAAGTATGTTCTACAATATTGAAGGAAACATCAATAACTACAGAAAACTCCGCGACACTATATGTCCAACTGTTATCGTTATGTCACAATAGCCACTTTTTAAAATGTGAAAATGTCCACCCGTGCGAAGCCGGGACGGGCCGCTAGTTTTAAATACAGAGATAAATCCTTAGTGATCAAGAATAACAACGCATGAAGGGCGCCGCGGGCGGTGCAGTATAATCAGCCATTCATTTGCATTAACATAGGTAACTATACCTAAGTATAAGTTATAAGTTTGTTGTTGTAGAAGTGTCGTGAAGCAGTTGTGTTTGCACGGCTGTGTTTCGGTTTGAAGGGTGGGATATGGCGTGAATTTACTGAGTACAGAGGAATAACATCTGAGTCCTCAGGAATGGCAACGCATGCGGGGTATCATGGGCGAAACAGTATACTCTGTTATGTTCACGGTACTGCTCGTGTTTATAGGCGACGGTTACCACTTTCCATCAGGTGGGCCGTCAGCTTGACTGCTAGAGAAATATCGGCTCGGAGTCGTCCCCGAATGTTGGTTAACTAGTGGTTAATGTAATTAGCGTAACAAGATTAACATTATCGCTCGAGTGTTGTTTTCGTAAAGAGATTAACGCGTCTACTGTTAAAAGGTTTTTTTATGGGTGAAAATGGTATGGTAACCCCGCCTGCGCTAACGGGATACGCTGGCGGGGCACCAGTGAAGGGTGATAGATGAGAATGGAAACAGGCCAGTTAGCCCATCGTGACGAATTCATCAGGAATTAACCATGATAGTTTCCAGGGGGAACCGCGAGGAGGTCGACCTGGTTGGGTATATTGCTAGCAATGGGATTCTCACTCTCCATTACTAACAATCCCTTTCCCCCCACTGTTAAAAGGTTAATTACATATATACATTTGCACCGCTCGCTGTCGGCAAGGAATCCATCTTTACACCCTGGAATTAGAATGGTCAACACTCAGGTTATAGAATGATTTACCGAAGCAAAACACTGATATTATGTTGTGGCCAAAAGCCAGCCTCGAGAATTCTTGATAAAAATAAGTAAATAACAACAAATAAATAAATTAATTGTATGTGTCCATTATAAATCAGTGTTTAATATAAATTTATAAATTAATAAGTAAATAAATAAGAAATACCATTGGGAGTATGAAATGGGGCAGTCAGAGCTCACTCTCCATCACATTCAAGCGCATAAGCATATTTCCGCTACACACCTATTTTTTTTTAAATGAATGATAATGCAATGGTAACCCCACCCGCGCTAACGGTATACACCGGCGGGGCACCAGTGAGGAATGATACGTGAGGATGAAAAGGCAGGTCAGTTAGCCCGTCGTGATGAATTCACTTGGAATAGAATACGGTAGTTTCTAGGGGAAACGGCGAGGTGGTCGACCTGACAGGGTGTATTGCTAACAATGGGGCTACTAATCCCCATTTTTAACAATCCCTTCCCCCCTCCCCCCCTTTACATACCAATTAGGTAGTTTGTGCATAGAGAGTACTCCATACTGGTTAGTAAGTAAGGAAAGGAGATGCAATGAGGATATCGCTGTAGACGTATCGAATTCGCGTTGGAACGCGTCGGTGTGTGCGTAATCCGTATGTAAGTAGCTATAAGCAGGCATGGCGTACAGGGTTACCAATTTAGGGTAATTCTCCCTAAATTTAGGGAAAACACTCTACATGTGAAATAAAATTATTTCTTTATACTAATCACTTGTTCATAGGCTTATTATTTGTATTATAAATCACAAAATAAAGTGTATAAATCAAAGACAATCCCTACTAATATAAATATAAAAGTGAGTTTGTTTGTTTATTACCTCTTACTGTCTTTACGGTTTAACCAATCCCTATGACATTTAGTATATTCAAAATTCAAAATTCAAAAATCATTTATTCATGTAGGACATTTTAGCCGCTTATGAACGTCAAATTTTTACATTATAATTTTATATTTTCCCTACCGTCCAGTTCGGTATATAGATCCAATTGAGAAGAACTGGCAAGAAACTCAATTGAATTACTTTTTTTAAAGCCAGTTTATTTACAATGTATATTTATATAGGTGTCTATGTCTAACATTAAATGAAAATTCAGTGCATGAACAACTATTGCCATGCACACTCGTCATTCAAGTAATCGTTTAGTGAGTAATAGGCTTTGCTCAGTAAATATGATTTAACAGATGTTTTGAATTTATTTAAGGGTAATTCCAACATATCCTTTGGTATCTTATTGTAAATTTTTATACCTATTCCCATAAAAGACCTATTAACTTTTTCTAAACGATACTTGGGGACAGCAAGTTTGTCTTTAAATCTAGTATTAATATTATGAATATTGCTGTTTTTTGGAATATATCTACGTTACAGAATGAAAAAAGATATAGGCATTTTATCTTGATCAGTGAATATATTTATTTTGTATGTTTTTTTTATGCAACTTAGAATGGCAAACAAGCTGACGGCCCACCTGATGGTAAGTGGTAACCGTCGCCTATACACATGAGCAGTACCATGGACATAACAGAGTATACTGTTTCACCCATGATACCCCCGATGCGTTGCCATTCCTGAGGACTCAGATGTTATTCCTCTGTACCCAGTAAATTCATGCCATATCCCACCCTTCAAACCGAAACACAGCCATGCAAACACAGCTGCTTCACGGTTGAAACACGAATGGGACAGAGGTACCCAAGCAATCGACTTTTGTACAAAGTCTCTCTCTGATAAAATGTATAATCTGTATGTATAATTTGTATATATTTATTTTAACTTCTGTTTAGCACTACTACTGCCCACTCACTACTTGCTATGCCACTGCGTTAGATTGACTGAAAGAAATCTCTTTTAGAGATAAGTTCACCTTTGCTAACATTGTTATTAACTTATTGTCGTTACTGTATGTTTTAGTGAAATAAAGAATATATATATATATATATATATATATATATATATATATATATATATATATATATATATATATATATATATATATATAATCCTGGAAATTACGCTAATTAGCACAACTAACATTTGCATACACTTCCGCGCAGTTGACAAACACTAGACATCTTATTTACTGTTATTTATTCAATACTCTTATACCATCAATCAGATCAAACTCTTGAAACCATCGTGGTGGTTAATTCGTGTGGAGTTCAACACGATGGACCAACTAACCTGCTTCCATGCTGACCTATCACCGCTCCCTGGTGTCCCGCCAGCATATATCGATAGTACAGGCGGGGTTAGGGGGAAAAGGATTGTTAGCAATGGAGTTTGACAGCCCCATTGCTAGCAATATGCGCTATTAGGTCGTCCACGTGGTTCCCCCTGGAAACCATCGTGAACAATTCTTGTTGAATTCGTCACGATGGGCTAACTGACCTGCTTCATCCTCACCTATCATCCTTCACTGGTGCCC